GACAAGAAGAGAAGTTACAGCAGTTGTTAGAAGAGAAAGAAAATAGACAAGAAGAGAAGTTACAGCAGTTGTTGGAGGAAAATAAAAAGAAACAAGAAGAGAGACTACAACAATGGCAAGAAGTACAAATGGAAAACATTAGTAAATTTAAAAGCGAATTAGATACGTTAAAGGACGATCTGTTGTCTTTTACACAAGGAGGATACATTGACCATCGACTTAACCAGCCCCAGACAATGGCAAGCCCTTTCCAGAGCCCGCAGCTAAACCCTAATGTAGACATCTTCAGTCCTGTTAGAAGTCACATCCCAGATATGAGTGTCAGTAATAGGAGTGATTCAGTAAGAAGGAAACCACAGGAATACGATGGGAAAGCACTGTGGGAAGCATATAGAGCACAATTTGACCTACAGAGGAGCAGAAAGTAGTATATCTGGCAACGAGCTTGAAGGGACAACCACTGGAAATACTTGGACAGTTGACAGCAGCCGACAGACACAACTATAGAGCACTGGTAGCGGCTCTAGAACTCGGGTATGGAACCCAGAATCAGTCAGACGTCTACACGGCTAGGTTTAGGACGAGAATACGTGCTAAAGGGGAGAACCTGCAAGAGCTGGCATAAGACTTGGAAAGCATGGCACACAAGGCCTACCCAACTGCACCACCCGATCTCCTCAAGTTGTTGCTGAGTGATCAGTTCGTAGATGCCTTGGACAGTCCACAACTTAAGATACAAGTGAAGCAAGCACACCCCTCTACCATGCAGGATGCAATGACCAGAGCTCTCGAATTTGAATCCTACGTTACGTCCAGCATAGAGGTACCAAGGTTGGTACAGTCATCTGGATTGAAGGCCAGAAAAGGTCAGCTTTCAGAGAGGTTTGAGGGACTTTGCTGGCACTGTAACAAACCTGGGCACAAGAGAGCTCAATGCTGGAAACTTCAGCACAAGGGAGATGATACAGCAGGAAAGGCTGCTACTCAGAAAGGTTGTTGGAACTGCGGAAAGCAAGGACATTTGAGGAGCCAGTGTAGGAGGGACATTACCAACAAGTCAGCCTCAAGGAGACTAGTTGTAGTTGGTGTTGAGGGACACTCACCAACCCCCATCGAGAAAGTCCCAATAGCTAGGTGTA